GTGAATAAAGGATTGAAGAAGATGAGGTAGACCTAAAATCACATTGAAGGAAGTTGTCTTGCAAGACCTATAATCTCTGGATTCCATGCAAAATTAAGCAAAAACTATGGCATAATAGAAAAAAAGAACTGTATAGGTGTTATCATTTAGTTGAGATTAAGTTTGTCATGTTAGGATGTTTCTTTTATGTCCAATATTTGCAAGGAATTAAAGGACGGAAAGAAGAAGAGGTAGACCTCAAATCACATTGAAGAAAGTTATTCTTTCAATCTCTGGATTTCATGTTAATTAAGCAAAAAATATAGCACAGTGGAGGAAAAAGAACTGTATAGGTGATACCAACTAGCTAAGATTAAGTTTGTCTTGTTGGTGATTTATGCAACAGTACGAAATGCAGATACCTCTAGTGTTAGGGACTAATTTTTTGTAATATTGGACTGAGATGGACATAGATTGAGCAGTATAGATAGTGAGGATTCAGATAGTCGACCCCAACTTGCTTGGGTTTGAGGCCTAACTGTTGCTGTTGCAAACACTAGAAAATGACTTCTTCTGCAAAATATTTTCTGTTATACTAAACAGATAGCTTTTGGACCAAAGAGGAAATAGATAGAGTTGAAAGTGCTTCACCTCATTCATGATTCATCTCTACTAAAGCAAATGTCTTCTTTTCTGTTTCAGGATTCTTAGCATCCAGAGGATTTCTCCTTCGTTTATCTTACCTTATAAAAAAAAAGGATTTCTCTTTAGTTGGTCAAGGATGGCGTCCGTGTCAAATGATGGGTTATCCAATGAGAGCGTGAAGAAGCGGCTGTCAGAAAATGGTTACCACTCCTCGTATTTGGGCATTATACCAAAATATAAAGTTCGGAAAGTCTCAGCAGTACGAGATTTTCCTCCAGGATGTGGTAAAATTTCTCCAAAAGTTGATTTGAATCATGAACAAAATGCCGTTGTGTCCACTAATGAAGATATGGCTAACATTGTGTTGGTTGATGTTGTTAAAGATTCTAACAGTGAGATCGAATCACGGTCGGCTGAAGCTGTGGACTCTCTAGTTAACATGGAAGAGCATGAAAAGTTGGATAGGTTAATAGGGGAAGTGGTATCGACAAACACGAGTGCAATAGCAAATGAGTTGGGAGAAAACATAAGTGACGATAAATCGCTTGGATTTGAGTTGCCTAAAGATCTTGAAATTAGTGAAATGGAGCTTTCCAAGGAAACGGAAGACATCCAGAGTGACACTTTAGTGAAGGGAGTTGATGAAGAGAGAAGTTTATCTTCGGTCGAAAATGTTGGTGGTGGACACAAGACATCTGTGCGGGAAATTAGCGGTGCGACTGATGAACCAAGTCCTGTTAGTCAAGTCAAAATGTTGTCACCACCTCAGCAGCTAATTAGTGTTATGGAGTATGCCTCCTCCCCGACAAAGAATAAGTACCGCAAAAGAAGAGTATCTGCTGTTCGTGACTTCCCTCCATTTTGTGGAACAAATGCTCCTAAGCCAACTGAACATAATTGCTATGGTGTTACTGAAGAAAGCAAGGATGTGGCAGGGTTCAATAAGGCAGTTATAAAGAATGAAGTGATTGAGACACTGAGAGATGTTACGGACACTGGGGCATTGCAAGAGAGGTTGGTTGAAAGTGAGGAGGCTGATTCTCTGAGAGAGAGGGACATTGCTAGTCCCAAAGATAGGGTGTTGGAGCAAATAACAATGGTTCACAGCGAAGAACAGGGAGGTATCCAAAATTATTTTGATGGAAGAAGTCAGATGGAAAGAACTGTGGTTATGCCCGAGACAATGACGAAAAAGGAGAATGATGCAGGAGTTGTGGGAAAGGAGATTGTTGTATATTCAGAGGATGAAAGTAAAAAGGCTACTACTGCAAGTAGTGCTCTTGGTTCTGGAAATGAAATGGTTGGGCCGATTACGCAGGGTGCTGAGCCGTATTGTGCACGGGAGCAAGGGAAAAAAAAGAGTTTAGATGGCCCTGTGAGTGGAAATGAAATTGTTGTCTCACAGGTCAAAGACAATCTGTCAAAGACTGCAGTCAGTGCTTGTGGTTCTGGGCATGAAATAGTTAAGCCAATTGTGCAAGGTCTGATGGCCGAGCCGCACTGTCCATGGAGGCAGGGAAAGCAAACTAGTGTGGGTTGTGCGGTGAGTGGAAACCAAGATGAGAAGTCTCCTCTGTCTTGGCGCAAGAAGGCTAAAGCTGTCGCCAGAAAAAGTAATCCTAGGGGTAAGAAGAAATCAGCTTCTGGTGGCGAAGCTACCGATGGATTTTCAAAGGCACTAGTTGTGTTCGATGACGAAGGATCTGCTTTACAGGCTGTCAGCAACGACAGAGCTTGCAGTTTGAATAGGGAAGCACTACATGAAGATTCTCCCGTTGGACAAGGACGACGTGAATTTGACGTGACCCTACCACCTTTTGGTCCAAACAGTTCTAGTCACGGTGATGCCCGTACTAAAGTTAGAGAGACTCTTCGTATGTTTCAGGCCATCTGTAGAAAGCTCTTGCAAGAAGAAGAGTCAAAATCAAAACCTGAAGAAGCAAAACCGAGGCAGGGGCCAAACAGAATTGATCTTCAAGCAGCAAAAATCATCAAGGCAAAAGGAAAAGAAGTTAACACAGGTCAGCACATACTGGGAGAAGTTCCTGGAGTTGAAGTTGGAGATGAGTTCCAATACAGGGTGGAACTTGCTATTGTGGGGGTTCATCGCCTATATCAGGCTGGTATAGATTACATGAAGCAGGGAGGTATGCTGATCGCGATTAGTATTGTTTCTTCAGGGGTCTATGATGATGCTGTGGAAGATGCTGATGTATTGATTTATTCTGGGCAAGGCGGAAATGTGGTAGGTAAGGTCAAAACTCCTGAAGATCAGAAGCTTGAAAGAGGTAATTTAGCTTTGAAGAATAGTATATCAGTTCAGAATCCTGTTCGGGTGATTCGTGGATCCAAGGAGACGAAAACCTCTGAATCCGTGGATGGTAAAGTTAAGGTAGTGACAACATATGTTTATGATGGGTTGTACAAGGTTGATAATTTTTGGACAGAACAAGGGCCAAAGGGTAAGATGGTTTTTATGTTTAAGTTGGTGAGAGTTCCTGGACAACCAGAGCTTGCTTGGAAAGAAGTGAAGTCATCAAAAAAGTCCAAAGTGCGGCATGGTGTTTGTGTCCATGACATTACAGAAGGAAAGGATACACTCCCGATAAGTGCTGTGAACACAATTGGTGGTGAGAAACCTCCACCATTCACTTACATCAAGAAGATGATATATCCTGACTGGTTCCAGCCGTCTCCTCCTAAAGGTTGTGATTGTATCGGTAGATGTTCTGATTCCAAGAAGTGCTCATGTGCAGTTAAAAATGGAGGCGAGATCCCATACAATCGTAATGGAGCTATTGTTGAAGTGAAGCCTCTTGTCTATGAATGTGGTCCTTCTTGTAAATGTCCCCCCTCTTGCTACAATAGAGTCGGCCAACACGGTATTAAAATTCCACTTGAGATCTTTAAGACAAATTCAAGGGGATGGGGTGTGAGAGCTTTAACATCTATTCCTTCAGGAACCTTTATCTGTGAGTATGCAGGAGAGCTTCTTGAAGACAAGGAAGCAGAACGAAGAATTGGTAGTGACGAATACCTGTTTGATATTGGGCAGAACTATAGTGATTGTTCTGTGAACTCTTCCGCACAAGCAGAATTAAGTGAGGTAGTAGAAGAGGGTGGTTATACAATTGATGCAGCTCAGTGTGGAAATGTCGGGCGATTTATCAATCACAGTTGTTCACCTAACTTGTATGCACAAAACGTTCTTTATGATCACGAAGATAAGAAAATGCCTCATATCATGTTCTTTGCAGCAGATAACATTCCTCCTTTGGCGGAGCTCAGTTACCATTATAATTATTCCGTGGATCAGGTACATGACTCCAATGGCAATATCAAGGTGAAGAAATGCTATTGTGGATCTTCAGAGTGTAGCGGTCGGATGTACTAGGGGTTTGTAAAGCTTTATTTCAAGTTGAGGTGAATAATTTCCTCATATTTGATTTAAGGTGTTTCTCTGCAATATATTTGTCCTCCTTACGTTTTGCTTTTAGCTGCATCTGCAGAATGTTGCTTTCCTTTCTCCATCCTTGAATCATGCTGCATAGTTTCGGTATCTACCTTCTTTCCCTATTGCAAATGGCAACCTAGTGTATTTTGTATGAGAGAAGTCATATTCGAGGAAAGTGTTTTTCAGGAGGAAGTCAAATTTTGATGTCTGGTACCGGAAAATGTTTTCAGGATAAAGTCAATTTTTGATGTCTGGTACCTGGACACTTAGTCCTGAATTTCAAATTAGCAACTCAAAAATTCAGGACACAGAGTCCTGAATTTTCGAATTCAGGATACTTAGTCCTGAAGTTTGGGTGAATTGACTAATCTTTAAGTACATTATAAATTGTGAATATATTTTAAATAGGGGCTTAAAAGTTGCTATTGTCGCACTTCGCCCAAGTCTTACATCAATATAATATTTAGGATTATGACTTCCAAGTGAAATAAAAAGGGATTATGACATCGAGTGGAAGTTGTTTTCAACAAGGTGTAGAAGTAGAATTCAATCCTTATTATTGGAAGATGGTATACTCGAGCACACATAAAATGCTAGTACCGTATTTAATGAATCTATCGATATGAAGTTACAATCTGTTGTTTCTTTTGTGATTATAGCGATAGCTTCAGTTGTGGAAAGAACAGATTTGTAGAACAGATTTGTTCTAAGTACTTGAGCTGTTGGAAAATCTAACCACACTAGAATGGATGTTATAAAGTCTTACAACTTTTCATACTTGTGGAAAACTAGCAATTAGCAAACATAAATTTTAAGGTAACATTTTACATAATATGTTTTAGTTAATAGTTCTATTAGAGAACCAAGCACAAGAACTTACGCCATGATAACTCAACAAGATACAACAGTGAAGAGATTTATTCATATATATTAGCGAACGAAGTACAATAACTTAATTAAGCCATGATAACTCAAGACGGTATTTAATTAAAGCAGCTTGCTGTACATGTGCACGGAGGGTGATCCCTAATACGCAACTAATCTATATATAAATTTATCTGTCAACCGATAGCTGAGACATCACCAAATACCACTTATAATATGCTATAATACTTAGTACTATATTCTTATTATTTTCATGTCTACGAGAGCTGAATATCGGTCTCAATAGTAGCCCCAGCTTTCCATTCAGCAGGAATTACAGCCTTATCAGACTGCACCCATTTGGTTTCAGCACCAGCACTTGTTAGGAACCTCACGTTAAGTTCTCCACTTGGTGGGCTCGATAGGTCGAACACTGCTCCATAAGCCCTCCTCATTGATATCCATTCTTTTGTTTCCTCCTGCATCAACATATATTAAATATATGCCAAGGTAGGCTCACATAAACATGAAAGGTAATTAAGTATTCCTTGTAAGCTCGTCCAATATACAATGACATCAGAGGCGGATTTAGGATTTAAATTTTATGCGTTCAACCTGTAAAGTGTTTAGCATTGAACTCATTGTATTTTTAAAGTTATGGGTTCATATTGCTATATATTGTAATATTTGAATTTTTACACATAAGTTTATGCTCCGCGCCAAAAGTACTTGGTTCAGTTGAACCCGGTACCAATGCTTTGCATCCGCCTCTGAATGAGTAAAAAATTTCGACGAAGCGGTAAAATGAGACGAACCTCGTAGACTTCGACAGCAAGAATGTCAGTAGCACCACCTTGATTCATAACAACTATAGCAAGGTAGTGAGGGTACTTGCTATGTTCATGGATTTTAAGCATGAGATTTCCATATTTGCAAGAAACTCTACGATATTCTACTTCAACCACTCCTTTAGCAAACAAATGCTGAGCCATATTAGGCTGCTTCGCCAATTTAGCATAGGCTCGGTAGCTGAGAATGAAGTCTGTTCCATGTCCTTCTCCAGTATCAGTCACCACTACTTTTGTTCCCTCGTCACTGCACAATCCCTTGTCCTTGCACCTTACCTATAAATTTTATTTGTTATCAATGCTATACACTACTTAAAAAAAAAGGGAAAATCTACTGTTAAAACCGACCGATGTTGGTCAGTAATTGGCAAAAATCGATCGAAAACCGACCAATTTTTGACGATCGGTTTTTTCGAACGATTTCGGTCAGTGAATTAAACTCCAAAAAAGAAAAAAATTCCGAAAAAACCGACCGAGAAGTCAGTCGGTATTTTTAATTATGTAATTAAAAAATGTACAATCTGGGAATCGAAGCGGGGTTTGTACTATGGCAGGATACTATTCTACCACTAGATTATTGATGCATTTTATTTAAAAACTGTCTTTTATTTTATTTATACTCTTTAATTGCATTTTCGAGCGAAAAACCGACCGATGTCGGTCGATTTTATTAAAAAATAAAATTATCGACCGAAATCGGTTGTTTACCGACCGGAATAACTGACTGATTTCGATCGGTTTTTTGAATATTAATTTTAAATAAAAAACCGACCAACTTTGGTCGGTTTCTTTAAAAATAAATTTCACGGGATGCAAAAATAGTTTCCTGCATTTTTGCGCCAAAAAAAAAGACCGATCAAAGTTGGTCGTTTTTGTAAAAAAATTGAAAAATAAAATATTTTGAAAAAACGACCGACTCCGGGCTGGTTTTCGGCCGGTTTTTTGACAGACCGACGTCGGTCGGTCAACTGCGGCCGGTTTTTGTTGAATTTCTAGAATAATCCAACTTAGTTTAATCAATGAGTACTTGTAGTTAATAAGTGACCTAATAATGTGAAACATGTTAAACTAAATAAGAAGAACAAGGATTAGATTAATTACCTGGTAGCAAGCTCCACATCCAGCTCCATTTTTGTAAAGCCGTTTGGAGGCTGCACAAACCTCCCCATTGTTGACATCTTTGCCATTTTCTCCATAACCACACGCTCCGGCTGATGAAAATGTACAACTAAATGTTTAAAATAGCTAGTGCAAGTTTAATTTACTTGATTATTTTTGTGTGTGTTAGTGGGAGGGATTAAGATTATGTATTTAGATGATGCTCCTACGAAGTGTATATATGTTAGGGACCTCTTAAATTTAGTTATATTTTCTCATTCTTATGTGACACTAAAAGTTGATTTTGAAATTCAAATTAATCACTGTTTGTCAAAATAAGTGACATTGATTTGATAAGTACTACTAATTTTTAGAATTAAAGTCTTGACATGAGGTCAACCAAAAAGTTTATGTACCTACACAATTAGATAAAGCGAACTATCACCATAAAACGTAGTAATACATAATTAGGAGATGACTATATATTTAAATAGAATTGACAATTCTTTTGGAAGGTGAAAAGTGGCATACTTGGTATCCCCATGCCATCTGGGGTACTGTAATAGGCAGCTCTGGAAACATAATTTCCGCTGTAGCAAAGCGTAGGCAATAGCAAAACCAAGCAGAGAAAAATGCAATTGTTTTTGAGAGAGATCATTTTGACTTTACAAAAGAGGTAGACGAATTGTAATTAGAAGAGTTGTGAATGGGATATTCGAATGAGGAAATCCTATAAATTTATAGTTGAGGTTTACACTTTACAGGGTCGGGGATCGACGATTGCTGCCACATTTCTGTTCCACTATAGGCAGTGGAAAACAGATGGAAACTAAAGAAAACTCTGTCCTAAAATTGATTTGATGACACACAATTTCACTAATTTCTTAATCATTGAATACTGTAAACCTGGAAAGAACCACATACGCCCTTTACCTCCAGATTTTCTACCAAGAAATAGAAAAAGGAGCAGGCTTAATTAAACAATTCACTCTGAGTACATACCTTGGAAATAGCTTTAAAGACAATTGATGCTGCATTTTAATTTGAATTCTGTTAAATATTTCAGGGCACATCACGCTAATTAACGAAAAGGTAAGGGCTCTAAAATTTGTAACGATGTAGGTAAATATCCCAACGTTATTTATTTCTATTGGTGAAATAATGGACAAATTAATTATGATTTATTTGGCAATATTGGATGACTTTTAGGTAAATATCACAACTTTTTGCTTAATGTGTTTTTAAAATAATGTAGTCATTGATATGGAGTACTAATAAATCATCATTATTTCAAATCTACAACTTCTTCAAACTGACTCATGGATGATCAATAAGACTTGGCAACATGTTCTTGCCTGATCAGACTCTTCAAAGAAAGGAGCATAGTTTCTTTAATAAGCTACGTACTGTTAAACTGTTAATTATATTTTTATAACATAAGTAATAAGAAAATATTATATCTCTTGTAAACTTAATGAAGAATGAAAACATATTTTATGAGAAAGAAGAATGGAAAACAGTTTATATTTATATTTTCCTGATACTAGTGCATTACAATTTACATCTTTTAGGAATAAATAATCCTCATGCCCTCTTTGTAGATGAAGATATCAAAGTCGATGGCTTCTCTTGTCCGAGCAAGAGTAATAACCTTTGAGAAGTGCTTTTTTAAAAGCTTTTTGAGCATCAATTTGTGTTTGGTATAAATTACGAATAATGACATGAAAATATTTACTTAATAGTCAATATTATTGAAGTAGATAAATAATTTCAAGTATTTAATATGAAAGGCTATAATTAAGTTTTTTTATTTTTATTAAGTAAAATAGGAGTATGAAGATAAATAAAAAAGTACTTTATCCTTTCAACAGTTTAAACAGTTTAAATACATCAAAACATTATTCAACAAATATAAAATATTCACCCCAAAAATTACTATATATAAAAAATTTATACTAAAAGCAAAAAGAAATACTTATATATTAGGAGAATTGCGTTTAAAATGAATAACTAAGTATTAAGTTAAACTGAGTAGGGTTATTTTGGTATATATAATTTTTTGTTAATGGTATTTTTACCAAGAGAAAAATTAAAAACAACTTTTGCTTTTGTTTTTGGGAAAAAACTATTTTTTTCAGCTTCTCATGTATAGCTTCTGCTTGTTAATATATTCTTGGCCTTGCCTATGATCTAATTACCTATGTTGTTCAGCTGTATTCTTTATTTTTAATTGATTAACAGAATATATTTGATAGAAAGAAGTAAATGATAAATTTTGTATGATAATATTTTCATCTCCACTAAAATTAGATTATTTGAATTTGCCTTGCATTTGTTAAGTGTCCATTTCTAAAATTAGATGTTGAGTTAAATACTATAATAATGGTGGATTGGTAAAATTCATAAATAATAGGAATAGTAATTATTAGACTGTATATTTACATTTTTGTATGTAAATGTTATTTGGCAGGGTGTTTGATTGAAAGATGAATAGGTCGTTCACTTTACGTAACCATTTTGGCCTATCAACTTTGTACTTTGGGTATATCCTTTCACATATAAATTACATGAAGTAATAGTCATGAATTGAGTAAAAAAATAAAAAGTTATCTGATTGACCTTATACATTGCTTATAGGAGGAGCAAATTGTCACGATCCAAAATTCACATATCGTAATGACGCCTATCTCAATACTAGATAAGCCGATAACCTTAATAAAATATTATAATCTTTTAAGTTTGAAAACATAATATTTGAATTCAATATAAAATCCCACAAATACTGATATAAATATACTCCCCAAACCCGATGTCACTGAGTACATGAGCATCTAAATGATAACATAGTCTAACTGATATAAATACTGTCTGGAAATGTAGAACAATACAAATAACTGAAAGGAAAGAGAGTCAAGGTCTGCGGACGCCAAGCAGATACCTCGATAGTCTCCAACAGATGAAACTCCGAAATCTAGCAACCGCCGTATCCGAAAGTACCTGGATCTGTACACGAAGTACAGAGTGTAGTATGAGTACAACCGACCTCATATACTCAATAAGTAACAAAACTAACCTTTGGGCTGAAAGTAGTGACGAACTTAACAGGTACAGTCCAATATAGAAATAACAATACAAAAATGTAGGCATGCTTTCAAATTTAACAGTTAAACTCGGTACAAGTAAAATAGATCAATTCTGAATGTTGTGAGGAATATGACATTTATATATCTACATGGCAATGTACGTGTTGTAAGTGATACACCTCAGTGGAAACCTCATGTACTCACAATCTCAAAATACTCAATCACTTAGTACTGTATATGGCCAATCCAGCCAAGGGAAGATCCATCCCATATATATATACATCAACTGACAGTCAGTCACTCAGTACTGTATAAGGCCGATCTAGCCCAGAATATAAATGCTTCGGGCAAGATCCATGCCCATGGAAGATCCATCCCTAGGATAAATAAATAAATAAGGTAACTTCATGCTCTGGGAAGTCCATCCCAAATATAAACATCAATTGAGCTCACTGTGGGGGGTGCAGACTCCGGAGGGGCTCCTTCCGCCCAAGCGCTATATAAAACCAATATGGCCTACTGCGGCGTGCAATCCTATCCCATAATAATAAAGCTTATAAGACTTGCTGCGGCGTGTAGGCCCGATCCATATAATAATAAATATAAAGTCAATATGGCATGCTACTCGATCCCATAAATATCCTCACAAATGAATGAACATGACTGAGTATGGAATTTATATTTTTAAAGTAATTAATTCAACAACAACACGGCCCTGCGGGTCATAAAAATATCGGCACGTAGCCTAAACATGATCTTTAATATGAGCCTTCGCTCAATTTCTCTAACACGCGGGGAACATGTGAATAATGACATGATTCTTTGATTATGCAACTCTACAGAATTTATTTAAGTCACAATTTCTATAGTGCACGCCCACATGCCCGTCACCTAGCATGTGCGTCACCTCCAAACAATTTATATAACACGTAATTCAGGGATTCATACCCTCAAAATCAAGTTTAGAAGTGTTACTTACCTCAAACCGTGTAATTCTTTATTCCAATATGCCTTTGCCACGCGAATCGGCCTTCGAACGCCTCGAATCTAGTCACAATTAATTCGATACAGTCAACACAAATTATAGGAATTAATTTTCATATGAAAATACTAATTTTTTAACAAAATCTAAAATTTAACTCAAACATCGTCAGAGAGGCCCACGTCTCGGAACCCGACAAAAGTTACAAAATATGAATGCCTATTCAACCACGAGTCTAACCATACCAAATTTACCTATTCCAACATCAACTCGATCTTCAAATTCTTAAATCTTATTTTCAAATCAAATCCTCGAATTTCACCTCAAAAATATGTAATCTAGTCAGAATAGTCGATGATACTTCAATATCATTGACTAACAATGATCATAAATGACTTACCTCAAGTTTTCCCGTGAATTCTCTCTGAAAAATCGCCTCAACCCATGTTGGAAATGACCAAAAATGCCAAAATCCCGCAGCCCCTCTGATTTTATACTGTCCACGGCCTTTCGCATCTGCGGTTCACTTGACAGAGGGAATTCGACGCTTCCGCGGCTCAGAGCGCATCTGCAGACAACAGTCCGCTACTGCAGATTCGCTTCTGCGAAGAAGTTGTCCGCTTTTTGCGACGAGACTGCCCCTTTCCCTTTTACGCTTTTGCGATGGATAGGACGGTTATGCGGACTCGCTTCTACGAGGTTTTGCCCGCTTCTACGGACCTCACGCTTCTGCGATGCCAAGCTCGCTTCTGCGAGAAAATATCTGCAGGTGCGATTGCACCAAAAGGCAGAATTTTCAGATTTCCTCTAAGTTCAAATTTTGATCTGTCAACCATCCGAAACTCATCCAAGGCCCCCGGGATCTCAACTAAATATACCAACAAGTCCTAAAAAATCATATGAACTTAGTCGAGACCTCAAATCACATCAAACAACTCTAAAAATATGAATCACACCCAAATTCAAGCTTAATGAAACTAAGAAATTCCAACTTCTATATTCGATGCCGAAACCTATCAAATCAAGTCCGATTGACCTCAAATTTTGTACACAAGTCATAAATGATATAACGAACCTATTCGAATTTTTAAAACTGGATTCCGACCCCGATATCAAAAAGTCAATCTCACGGTCAAACTTCCAAACTTTAAATTCTTATTTTCTCCATTTCAAGCCTAATTTAACTACGGACTTTCAAATAATTTTTCGGACACTCTCTTAAGTCCAAAATCACCATACGGAGCTATTAGAATCATCAAAATTCTATTCCGGAGTCGCTTACACATAAGTCGACATCCGGCAAACTATCTCAACTTAAGCTTTAAATCTTGGAACTAAATGTTCCAATTCATTCTGAAACATCCCCGACAAGTCACATATTTATAATTGTTTATAGGATAAGCAGTAAATGGGGGAACGAGGCTGTAATACTCAAAATGAACGGTCGGTTCGTTACATTCTCCCCTTCATAAACAAACATTCATCCTCGTACGGGTTTAAAATTATACCCGGAGTCTCAAATATGTATGGATATCTATTCTGCATCTCCCGTTCAGTCTCCCAAGTAGCCTCTCCGATTGGCTGGCCTCTCTACTGCACTTTCACTGAAACTATGTTATTTGATCTCAACTT